CGGGCAGGTAGTGAAGTGGGTGTGTGCAGAGGTTGGAAAAGGAGGGAAAGGAGAGGCGGGGCAGGGAGTGAATCAGGGGTGTAAAGAGGTTGGAAGAGGAGGGAAAGGAGAGGCGGGGCAGGGAGTGAATCGGGGGTGTACAGATGTTGGAGGAGGAAGGAAAGGAGAGGTGAGGCAGGGAGTGAAGGGTAGTGAAGAGGTGTGGGAGAAAGTAAGGAAAGTTCGTGTCTGTGTGTGTGTGAGAATGGGGAACGTGAAGTGTTGTGAAGGATATGATTTGGGCAGGGGAGCAGGAGGGATATTTGACGGAAGGAACGAGAGGGAAATGTGTTCGGGAGTCGGACGGGAAGGGACGAGGAGGGCGGGGGACACAACGAAAGGGGAGGTTGAAGAGTTAGAGGTTATGCATATTTCATTGATGTGTAATGATATTCTGTTCGATATTGACACTTCCGGTTTTTCAATTTACACGATACAACATTTTTTGTATCCTGATGTAAATGTAAACAGAATAAACTCATGTCAACAAAAACATCTATGTTGATTACAACCCGATTCACCAACAACATCAGTAACTCGGGTTCTTGTCATATATAATACAGTTTTGTCCAAGTGATATAGACAACCTCCACGGATGTAGATTCTTTACAGTTGATTGGCGCGCGCGCGTCTTATCAATGTTGTGATGACGTTGCGGCTAGAACGCGCTAACGGAGAGAGAGAGAATTACTCGAATTGACGGAAATTGCAGGTTTACCGTATAAAATACAGATGAGACGAGCGTATCTGTTGATGTTGTGGGCCGATATTTGTATCGTTTTACGCTCATAAGCCTTACCCTGTCTGGTAGGATTTACTTGCGGTTATTTCCGTGTATATAATATCATAAACGTACTTAAATCGTCCGTTCTAGATTTACAAGTACCGACATTAGTGGGGAGTAAGAAAGTTGTTATAAGTGTTTTATGACGATCCTTTCAGATTAGATTTCTATCTCCACACATTGATATTGTTAAGCTCTATAAGCGCATGTGAATAGTCCAAACGTTCATTAACTTCATCATCTAATTTTCGTGGTTTTTTGTGATCAAGTGAAAAATACCAGAAAGCTTGCGTCATAAATATTATTTTAACACAGCATACAAAACTGTATTTGTTCAGTTATCATTTAATTTTTTGAGTTTGTAAACGAAATTATTGGCAAATTAAACTCGCATTTACTGTAATCGCCGGGTCGTACTGAGGAGAACTCCGGAAGTTCTGATTTAAATCTTTAGTTATTACATGTACAGTTGACCTCGTTTGTGTTGCAAAGAGTGTGATTCTGTTTTCAAATAAATTTTTCAAATATCTTTGTGTGTTTTCCTGCTATGTCTCAGTTTAGCAAAACGAAGTAAGAATAATTTAAATAGGCTGAATATATTTCTCTCTCGATCTCAAAAACTGCAAACCAGATAAAATCAATCGGGATGTAGACTACACGACTCGAAATGCCCTACTTCACTATTAAAATGTATGACATCCCATTGTGTCATTATCTGAAAAATAAAGCCTAGTACTGCTCCAGCTAATATCGAAATCACAGGGACCTGATAATTTGTTACAGCTATATTTGGACGTAAACTAACGTGTTCAGAGTTATTAAACATGTTTTAGGGGTTTATATCGTCTTTCGGTAAAAATGACACCCCCAACTCGAATATATGATCATTAGGGATGTCATTTTACTCTGTAAAATTACTCTGAACACCTTAGTTCAGGTCAAAATATAGCTGTAACAAATTATCAGGTCCCTGTGATCGGAATGACAAGAGCCTAAACACACATTGCAATATAAAACTAATAAAAAAGTCATTGAGAAATCGCTGTCAAACAATGATACCGCTTAGATGTCAAGACTTGCATGTTTCTGTTTTAAGCGGAAAATCAAGAGGAAGGTGTTTTTTTAAATTATTTCAAACCACGATCTGCTTGTCACGTGCGGCGCCTTAATTAAATAGTTAATTTATGACGTATGGTATTCCCGAGGTTGACGTGACCGTTTTCTGTCCTAACCTTGTCAGAGAGATATCTCATACATTTTGTACGCATTGCGTGACTTTCTTGAGTAAAACTTTGAGCGATCAGATATCGTTAGGATAATTCTCGGAGGAGACTAACGAGAGAAACTTCTTTACTGAATATGCTAAATTTACATGACTTTATTCGAAATTTTCTCAAATTTGCATCAGAATATCGATGATTCAAACATTAGTCATTAAGACATGATTCTAAATCGGATAAACTCGAAATAAAAATGAATGCCGTCTCATTGAGGGTTTAATTTAGCGTCTAATTCTACGTTTTTCCTAGTAAATGATCAAATGGCCTCTTTTATATGACAAAACAGAGAAATGCGAGAATATTTTATGGCTGAAATTGAAAAGAATGTCAGTAAAACTGTATTCACGACATTGTTTTGACATGCATTGCATGCCGTGAATAAGCTGCACAAGGCGCAGTTCAGAACACAGGGACCTGCAAATTTGCTATGTTTGGACCTTAACTGACGTGTTCTTGATGATATTAGACTCTTTAGGGGGTTAAGATAACCTTTTGGCTAAAAGCGCCACCAACTGTGACTCCCGTCTTCGGTTTATATCATCATTAGTCCAGTGGCATTTTAACCGAAAGGTGAAACGTCTAATATCACTGTGAACATATCAGATAAGGTCGTCCAAACACAGCTAAACGGTAACGAATTCGCAGGCCCCTGTGAGTGTAAAGTAAAAGGGGACTGAGTGGGAGAGGGTAGATGTCAAGTGAAGTCAGTGTGTGTTGGGGAGGTGAGGACTGGGAGGGGAGGATGAGAGGGATGGGATTTGAATTAAAGGAGATGAGGAAGAGATGATTTTGAGTGTGAGGCGAAAGAGCCGTAGACGAGAACTTGGTAAGAGAGATGGTGATTGGTAGGGGACAGTCAGAGGGATGCTGAGGGGTAGGGGACAGTCAGAGAGATGCTGATTAGTAGGGGACAGTCAGAGAGATGCTGAGGGGTAGGGGACAGTCAGAGGGGTGCTGAGGGGTAGGGGACAGTCAGAGGGATGCTGAGGGGTAGGGGACAGTCAGAGGGGTGCTGAGGGGTAGGGGACAGTCAGAGGGGTGATAAGTGACGTGGGCATCAACAGGAACGTCCCCTTAATATCTTTTACTTGTAGATACTGTATCATTATAGCGCTATTGGGCCAAAGACGTTCGTTGACCAAGTAGATCTACTGGTTAACAGACAGTATAACCATTTGAAGTCCTGGGTTCGAATCGTGGTCAAACTCAAACTAGTTATACTCAGAACACCATTGTTGATAATTATTTTCGTTTNTTTTTTTTTTTTTTTTTTTTTTTTTTTTTTTTTTTTTTTATAAAAGTACGATTTGATTTTCAGAAATGATTACATGTATCAAAGTTATAGACATTCTGAAAAAAGATATTTTCCAAAGCATAGTTACAATTTTGGGCAGTAATACAGTTATCCTTGAATAATATTTTTTGAAATCGAATGTCTAATGTATTTGTAGTGATAAAAAAAGCGAAAATATTACTAGTGAAAGTTTTCGTTCACTAGTTTTATGCGTATTTCTTAAGACGGTGGAAACATTTCTTATGTATTTAATAGAGAGCCGAATCCAAATATTTTATTTTCAATATTATATGGTTATCGACGAAAATCCTTGCCTTTTGAAGTTTGCCAGACGGGTCACTACCTCCGTTTATTTAACCCATTGACCACAGTAGTGTTGTCATGCAAAGTTCTCTGGCATATGTAATTGCTAACTCTAGCGTTGTACAACTTCCAATTCTTACGGTTTCCATAGAGACCGGAGGCCAGTGATACAGACAACATTTCATGTAGATATTGTCTTCTCTTACGTGACTTCTTATCTAATCAAAACCCCTGTCAAAAATTCCATAGAAAGCGATCTTAACTATGAACAAGGTTTCTGCGTATGACGACGTGAATGCCGGGTGAAAGGATAAGATGGTAGATATATATAGTGTATATGGGTCGTTTGTAAGAAGTTCCGTCTCGTCTCGTTTCTTTCAAAACCACGAAGAATAGTCAATGACCAATCTCCTCTGTACATGTTCGCGGAAATGTCAATACATTAAGACTTTTCTATAGCAATGGACTTATGATACAGTCATATTTATCTCAAAAAACTGCCAATGGTTGGTCCGGTCCCCTTTTAGTGATGTACCGTTTGGTCCGATCCCCTTTTAGTGATGTACCGTTTGGTCCAATCCCCTTTAAGTGATGTACCGTTTAGTCCGATCCCCTTTTAGTGATGTACCGTTTGGTCCGATCCCCTTTTAGTGATGTACCGTTTAGTCCGATCCCCTTTGAGTGATGTACCGTTTGGTCCGATCCCCTTTAAGTGATGTACCGTTTAGTCCGTCCCCTTTTAGTGATGTACCGTTTGGTCTGATCCCCTTTAAGTGATGTACCGTTTAGTCCGACCCCTTTTAGTGATGTACCGTTTGGTCCAATCCCCTTTTAGTGATGTACCGTTCGGTCCGATCCCCTTTTAGTGATGTACCGTTTGGTCCGATCCCCTTTTAGTGATGTACCGTTTGGTCCGATCCCCTTTTAGTGATGTACCGTTTGGTCCGATCTCCTTTTAGTGATGTACCGTTTGGTTCGATCCCCTTTTAGTGATATACCGTTTGGTCCGATCCCCTTTTAGTGATGTACAGTTTGGTCCGATCTCCTTTTAGTGATGTACCGTTTGGTCCTATCCCTTTTTAGTGATATACCGTTTGGTCCGATCCCCTTTTAGTGATGTACCGGTTGGTCCGATCCCCTTTAAGTGATGTACCGTTTAGTCCGATCCCCTTTTAGTAATGTACCGTTTGGTCCGGTCCCCTTTTAGTGATATCCCGTTTGGTCCGATCCCTTTTAGTGATATACCGGTTGGTCCGATCCCCTTTAAGTGATGTACCGTTTGGGCCGATCCCTTTTTAGTGATGTACCGTTCTGTCCGATCCCCTTTTAGTTATGTACAGTTTCGTCCGATCTGCTTTTAGTAATGTACTGTTTGGTCCGGCCCCTTTTAGCGATGTACCGTTTGGTCCTATCCCTTTTTAGTGATATACCGTTTGGTCCGATCCCCTTTTAGTGATGAACCGTTTGGTCCGATCCCCTTTCAGTGATGTACCGTTTGGTCCGATCCCCTTTTAGTTATGTACAGTTTCG